GGCTACAGAGAAGAGGTCGTTTTCCTGAACGTGCAACGTACGTATAAAACCTTAATATTTACATTTGTTGGTACCATTGTCTACTAAAAATAGTAATAATATTTATTACAATATAACACTGTAATTACTTTTATACTTTTATATTCTTACTAAATATTTATTTTTGCTCACTTTACATACATCCACGTTTTAATCAGTTTTTTGTACATTGGATTTATCATTACGCAGTAGATTCTCGATTATACGAACTGATTATGTTGAGATATTCGAACGACTCGTATTATAATTACACTTCATATTACAAAAACGATAATTTATTACTATTCATGTATTACGTACATATCTTTCTAACTAATTCAACAATTCAAATTTATTTAATAATTCAAAAATTAATTCAGAGTAAATCGTTTAATAATGAGTGAAAAATTGCACTACTTTTGCATTTAACGACACTATTATATTATTTACGAATTTGTTATTTAATATCAATAGTAATCAAATTAAATCAATTAAACTGAATCATATTTTCAGCGTTACCGAAGCAGATTCCAAAATACAGACCAGAACTGCATCCAGTCCGAAGGAGAGAACCACTCGGCTACAACGTCTGGTTGGAGACCATCGAATCGGCACCAAGCTTCACCTTCCTCCTTCGACCGCGTGTCATCCAAGTCAGACAAAACTGCAAACTCCTTTGCTGTCTTGCTGGCAATCCACCGCCAACGGTGAAATGGTACAAGGACAAAGATGAACTGTCTAAGCTTCATTACTCGATGACGAACGCGGATGGCGTTGTCACGATGGAAATCATCGATTGCAAACCAGAGGACAGTGGCAAATATCGTTGCGTTGCATCGAACAAACACGGAAAGGATGAGACTAGCTGTGTTGTTATCGTCGAAGGTATAATTTTAAACACACATCGTACGAGTGACTTTCAGTTCACGCAGATGGTATCATTTTAAATTAAAATGAAAGGTATAACACGACATTGTATTCCACTTGTACCACTGTTCTATGATATTTTACAAAATTGTGGATCTTCTTTTTGCATTTTTATGAAAGAATACAACTTGAATAGAAATTTATTTCATTTATTAATATAGTATTATACTATTGTTATAGTACAGTATTATAGTAACATAGTATATATATATATATATATATACTATTATAATACTGCATAATACTATTATAATATTATAACATGTAATACATAATACATATAAATGTATAAACATATATTGCACGTTATACATAGTTTTACGCATTTATCAATGCAGCACGAACTGAAAATTCTTTCGTCGGTGATACATCGAACGTCAAAAAAAAAATATTGTTTTTTTTTTACAATTGATACAAAATATATATTTCTGTTACCTTATTATCGGTATTTATAGTAATATGAAACATTTGTTTCTAGGCACTGGCGAAACAGAGGAGCAACAGAAATTAGCGCACGACCTCCTACATTCCGGAGGTACAATTTTTGGAATATAGCCCCTTCTTGCTTGCAATCCCGCTTGATCGTACATTAATTTGAAAAGCACAATCTCTCCCTGTAAAACTGCTTGAAACAAATTATACCTGTACAATTGCTTAAAACAAATTGATCAACAACGATCAACATTATTTCTTTAAGGGAAAAATTATATATTGATATCTTGGAAGGCAGAAGTATCTTCAGAAAATTTTTTTTTAAACAAACAATGCAACTAAATCAATTTATCACTTATTGTTATATATAATTAATATGTACATATTGAAGAGTGTACCAAAGAATTTTTGAATCTACCCTACCCTATCAACCTTATATAAGCCTAAATTTATAAGCTTTTTTCCCCTTTTTTTTTCACATTTATTTCTCCTCAAAATCTCTCTGCTGCCACAAAATCGCCCTTTTTGCGTTGATAATAATTAACATGAAAACAAAACTATATATCCAGAAGGTAGGAGCGTATATTTATCATGCTATTTATGGAAATTTTAATATCTCAACAAGTAACAAAGCGGCAATGCATCACAAATATTTGCAATTTAAGAAGATGGAAAGAAATCTTTAATTCGGTTTTTATTCATCTGGTCTTAATCGGACACATAATTTTTCTTATTTACTATCGGCCAAATTGAGAGATATTTTTGAAAGAGAAACGCAATTGAAATTTTGATAACATACAATTTGTAAATAGTAACAAAATTTATTATCTTATCATTACTTATCTATTTCTGGATCATTGCAACTTTCCAGCATTTATGAAGCTACCATTAGTGATTTTGTTTAATTTTCCATACAAATAACCTTGATATTGCTTTATTGAGTTCGTGGACATTTCATTTATTAGCAATCAAAATACAATTCTATGAGCCAACTTCCTCTTTGGCCATCTAGTTGGTTTGTTGAACTTATTAATTGAAGAAAACAAGTTAACTCCCCTACTCAATCTCTTTCTTTACGAGACTCCTGCTGATAATAAGTGTATATATTAAATATTTATATTTGCATATGTTCTAATTCGACACATGTGAAATTAGTCTTTATTATCTTTTAATTTTAAAAGTATATAGATGCTTTTCATCGATACACAATACGTTTAAAATATTAAAAGATGACTGATGCTTCCAGTTATGTCAAAACTGATACTAATAACACATGCCATATCGTTCCCATCGTACTTAAATTATTTCTAAAAAAATTCTACATACTATCCACAAGTATTTGAACATCTGAAATACGATCAAAAAATTAATATTCTTCTTATATTTTCATAGTTCTATTGAAGATCAAATACTCTACTGAACTTAAACTAAGACATAAATTTTTCAGCCGAGTTCCATGTTTATCTGTAATAAATGGTTTATACTTCAACTTCAACAAAAAAACTTCATGAAATTTATATAAATTTTTAAAATTCTTAGTTATTTAAATCAAACATATTGACAATTTAACAAATTAATTTTGACAAATTAATATTGACTATTGATATCTATTAAGATATATGTATATAGTTATTTGAAATAGGAGAAACGAAAATTAAATTAAAGAGTTCATTCAAAGTACATATTATTTGCTACAATTTGTAGGTGCCTAAGTAGTAGTATAGCATATTGTCATGAATTTTACAAATTTTTTTCATAAGATTTGTTTTAGTAATCTTCCTAATATAATTATCCGTTCTCAAAAGAAAAAAAAAAGAAAAAAATTGTAAAGTATCCATTTCTTCGATTTTTTGCAATGTCTTCCTCTCTTAAAAATTTGCAAATCTTCCGCGTTCAACTTGAATTTAAACTTCTTATTTATTTTCTTACCAAACAGTAACTTCTACTAACTTATTAAATATTAATTTAATCGCTTGATATACTTCTGTTCTTAAATATTAAAATATTTGCTGATTTTATACGAAACGCGGAGCCAAAATGGAATAAATCGACTACTACAAATATCAAAATTCATCGGTATTAAAAGTGAAAAATATAAATGAGAAAATAACTTTATTATATTATTTATAATTGACGGCCAAGATTTTATATTAATCAATAATCATTTATTAGGTTCCTAATGCCTTTGATTCTTCATATATTCATAAGTATCTTATTATTAGTATAATCTTTACTAAATTACCAACAGCCTTAATTTAATTTCGTCGATACTAATGAATTTAGATTATTTATTACTGATTTAAATCAAACGGTTGCGTTTTCTAGAAAAAAATATTTGAAAGTGAAATATTATTTTGTAGATCGAAAATTCATCGAGCAACCGCTGAAACCAGCACCACCTCCGATTATAACGGTACATAAAGCCGGTGGATACAGTGGTTACAGTTCCACTACTACACAGGGTCACAATTATAGTAGTTCTACCACAAAATACAATTCCTCGAGTTCATCTTCATATAAAGTAAGTAGAATAGAGGAGAAATAAGCAGAAATAGGTTCTGAAACATTTCGTGCCATTTGAGCTTTAAATTTTCTTCTATCGTTATACATATTAAATATTTGTATAAATATTGATTAAATGTTTTATAATTATATTACACGTACGTTATATTACTTTATATTGTGTCGCATTGCGTCGAAATAACTCAACGTTGACGAAAATTAAACAATTGGCAATTAATATTTGATACATGTAATTCGTCTAGGCTACAGATTCCAGCACAGAAAAACGAAGTACCAAGAAATACGGACTCGATAGCACAGGCAGTCCATCTCGTTCTAGGAGTACAACAAAAGAATTAATTTGTAAGTTAAATATCTTATTTTCTTTGAAGAAACTGTATGATCAAAACGAACGGTTTGATAATTGATTTTGTTTAACTATTATCACATAAAGATCCTCCGGATGAATCGATGAGAGCACCGCAATTCACGAAAAAATTGAGTGATCTCACTATCAACGACGGTGAACAATTGGAACTTAACGCAAAAGTTGATGGTGATCCAGAACCACAAATTACTTGGTCCAAGAATGGCAAGGCAAGTAGATAGTAGATATATACGAAAAAAGTTTGATTCCATCGCGAGCCTCGAATTTTGATATTGCTATTGTTTCCAGAAAAAGATTTTTAACATTTTGAAGAATGAAAATGAACCTATGAAAATAACAATTTTTATCATACTTTGTATAAACTCGAAGTATTTTTTGACGTTACTAAAATCAGCCTGAAATATTTGAAAATAAGTAATGCAATATATACATATTTTTACATATTTTTCGCAAGTAATTGCAAAGTGAGAAGTTCAGATTTTTTCGAATAGTGTTACTGTAGTTTTTAACTTTGCTTCTAAACTTTTTGTTTAAGAAAAATGTTACAAAATGACGAATTATTTTGTATGTCCAGAGCTTGTTCTACAAAAATTGAAATTAATTTTTCTGAATCACTGAGAAGTTCGTTATATAAAACAAATTGAATAAAATTCGATATCTGGGCTATCAGTCTTAAAAAAGTCGAGATACAGTATAAAGTTAATAAAATTTCTTTATTAGACGTTGAGTTCCTCGGGAATTATGAGCTTGAAGTATAAAGGCGGAGTCGCAACTCTCGTTATCAACGAGGTATTCCCTGAAGACGAGGGCGAGTACGTTTGCCAAGCAAGCAATAGCATCGGTACCGTAACTACCTCCTGCAAATTAACTGTGAAACGTAAGTACACGTATAAAGTGCAAGCTTTTATGCGACTTCTGATCTTTATGAGCACAACTACAAAAACTACGAACAAGTTTTGTGACTTGTTTCATGTATTAAATATTATAAAATCAAACATATATTACATTATACCTTAGATATTTACACTGTACATACATTTTATATATTTTTCTATCTTTGAATATTTCTAGTATAATATTTAGTGTAATATTTTAGTTATTAATTATTACGTTTGTATTATATTAATAATATTTTATTATATATAAATAAAAATATTGTTATAAACGAATAACTAAATAAATAAATATATTAATTTCAGCCATGACAGACGCAGCCGCGAAGAAAAAGACCGACGACAAGCCTCCAAAGATCGTAGATCATGTGACTAGTATGTTCGTAAAGGATGGTGAAGCTGTAACGCTGAGTTGTCGAATAATCGGTGCGAAGAAGTTCGACGTGGTCTGGCTTCACAACAACAAGGAAATCAAACCTAGCAAGGACTTCCAATATAGCAGCGAGGCTAATATCTATAAATTGAACATTGCCGAGATCTTCCCTGAAGACTCTGGCACTTACACCTGCGAGGCATTCAATGATGCAGGAGAGAGCTTCTCATCGTGCACGTTAAACGTACTTGGTGAGTTCATAATCATTTTATGAATTGTTCCTTTACCTTCTGAAAGGAGAAATTTAAGAAAAATAATGCCAATTTCTTTAGAATCCAGAATGATTTTACGATTTTGCTTTCAGTTCCAAATGAGGAACCGAAGAGTCCAGTCTTCACGACATTCCCACAATCCGCAACGGTAAGCGAAGGCGAATCGGTTACATTCGTATGCAAGACTGAAACCGCGCCTCTGAAAGGTAAGTGAAAATGTTTATTTCAATCGATTGAGGACATTTCAATCATCGCTTTACTTTGATACAGCAATAATAACGGACTAATCGCGAGAATTCAAAGTGCAAAGTTTAGTTTTAGCGAATTTTATTAAAGTAATTGTAACACAACTAATGTTACAGTAACGTGGTTGAAGGACGGGAAAACGCTCCCAGAATCTAGCAGCAGGTACCTCTTCAGTTCAGACGGTGACAAATCGTTCGAGTTGCGTATCAAAGCATGTACAGCTAGCGACGTGGGTCAGTATGTTGCTCGCGCGATCGGCAAGAAGGGTGAGACCAACGCTGCTTTCGCCCTGAACGTTACCAACGAATAGTGAAGTCGTTGATTTCACGCGTGTCAAAACGCAACACGACAAGGTTTGATGAGATCTAAGTATTCAATTTTCATTCGTTCCTCTACTCCATTCAAACTTTCGCCTTTTAAGATTGCATGTCGATTCACGGAATATTTATCCGTTTTAATCCATGTTCTTTTTCAGTCTCTAGAACATTATCGGGAGGACAACGATACAAGAAGAAAAACTATGTAAAAACGAACTATATAAATGTGCAACTTGAAAATAATCGCGGTCATAGGCGGCGTAATGCTCGTGTATAAAAGAGAAATTGGTAAACTGTATTTATGCTATTCTATATGTAAATTATCATGGAAGGCTATATTTACTTTTTGTGTGCTTGTCATATCGCAAAAGAAAAAAAAAGCAAAACATGTCATTATATGATAAAAGAAGAATCCAAAGCGTTAAGCAATACGGATAGCACGCGCAATCTATACGCTAATACGAGCTTTGCTGTATACACGAATTAGCATATTTTAAGTACACAATCGTACACAAACGGCAGTGTAAGTTATAAACGGAAAACTTTCACTATAGTCAGAGCCGGCAGGATAGCCAGCATCCTCGTACGTTCAAACAACAACTTATCTTGCTAAATGACTATACGAAAGAATTTAACACTGCCGAAATGTACATCCTTATTCCATGTAATCGTACGCACTGTCGTGTTATACATGTTTGAAGACTGCTTCCGTTACAAAATTTCAGATAAATAAAAAAAATGATTCAAATATAAAAGTTGCGAAATTTTTTATTTCCGTTTGATTATTTCCATTACGATTTCATAAAATATTTTACATCGATCAAGTACAAAATACTTTGACATCCTTAAGTACTACAAACCGCTTTTAATTTTCGTTCACTTCTATTCTCCTCCCTCCATAATTTTATATTTTTCAATGTATTCGCTACCGTTCAATTCCGTTCGAATTGAATTTTATTATTTGATATTTGTATGTACATAATATTAGCGTAATATTAGCGGTTTGTGAAGCATTCTGTAGTTACATAAATTTCAATATCTAATACTTAAGGGTTGATCCAATACTTAAGAATCAATTATATGGTATTGTATAAAGTATTGGGATCTATAAGATTAGAAGAATTGAATCCTGGAAAAATAGCATTTTTGAAATCGTTATTTATGTCAGCATGTATATGGAAATACAGATCATTTTCATTTTTTCGAGTATCAGATAATAGCAGTACACAGATATTGAATTTAAATTTACTATCCTCTTTTATAGGATATATAAATATTTTATCGTGCCTCGGAACAAGCCGTATCATGCAATTTGGTTTTTCACAAACAGATCCGTTTTTTGCAATATCAGTTCTTATAACAGCCGTTTTTCCATCAAAATAAATACCTTACAAAAATTATTAAAAGTCATTATGAAGGCAAATAAGTATCATCGATATCTTTCTATTCAATATTTACCAGGAAAAAGTAATGTTGTATCATGCGTAATAAATGCATTTACTCTTCCTATATCATTACAACTGGATATCGATATAGTGCTCCAAATATTTTCCTCGGGATGATAAATATAAAAAGATGACTTCAGCACGAACAATTTTCCATTTTTAACACAATGAGGTGGAACACTAGTAAAACATTCAGGAATATTTGAACCAGACGTCCAGTTACCTAAAATAATTTGTGCACTATAATCGTTATAACTTGATATTTTGTCCATTTTATAAAGTAAATTTTTAACCTGTGTGAATATTAAGAATATCGACTGAAGACAATTTTAATCTATGTTTTCCTACACCACCAACTAAAATCAATTTGTTTCTTAAAAATACGGCGATCATATGTCTCCTTGGAACTGGTAATTGTGCTTCGTAATACCACTTTTTAGATAGAAGGCAATACCGTGAAATTATTTTATTAAATTGCGAACCTTCCAAACCTACGCATCCTCCAATTGTATATACACTGAAACCTAAACCAATGTTTCTAATAATTTGTTTTCTTAACAAAATGTACAATTTGACGAAACATACCTCTAGTAACAACTTGTGTTCCAAATAACCATGTGTTTGGGTATTCAATACTTTTTAATTTTATACGCTCATTTAAAACATTACCATCCCAAATATACAAATATGCATTTTTTGCGCCGTAATCCTGTTTGTCACCATTGTCACACTCATGGATAACTGTCCAAGCCTTTATAAACTTCAGTTGTCTTTCTCCTTTGATATCAATAAGATTCGTTGTCTATACTTAAAGTATTTTCAATGTACTACAAAAGTCACGTGTGAATAAACACGATAAAGAAAAAGTCATTTACCTTATGATGTTTCATCCATTGATCTTTTATATGTTGCAAATAAAATTCTGAATAGTATCTTAAATTAACATTGTTTAATAACTTAACTATATTATCTGCGTTCAATTTGATGAGTGAAGATAGAGGAAGTTCTTCAAAACGGTCTAAACAAAGAGATATACAAATATCTTGTAATACTTTTACACTTAATTCCTGTGCTAATAACCATATGTCAATTACTTTCTGTGGATCCAACCAATATAAAACTATAATTTCTATAATGTCAGTTGTTAATTCGTCAACCATAAACAATACGCTCAACTGTAGCAATATTAATAATCCTTTAAAATTCTTTTGTAGAAATTTGGTCAAAGAAACCTTTATGGGCTGATAAAAAACACACAAGTGATTCTTATTGTGTACCCACTGAACAAAAGTCTAGAACAAAAATTATATAGTTACAATAATAACATGCAAAGACTTTAAATCACATTGATATAAATCACAGAAATAACCTGTAAAGTGCATAAAGAAATGTCATAATTAATAACATGTTCCTCGTTGTTGGAATCACTAAAATTGTGCGAGAAAAGAGACGCAAAGTATTGACTTTTGCTCGCAAGTTGTTTTTTGTTCACTTTTATACGGTGATTATTAAGTACCAAAGTTAAATATTGCGTCATGGTGTGTTCGGTATTACTTGTCGAATATAAGCACTTGTTTAAAACGACCTCATAAAATTTTGTTTCGGTTGTCTTGACAAATTGTTAAAAACGGTCGTACGAAACAATACAGGTAACGTCAAAAGGTTAGAATACACAAATCACTTTGGCAAGAAGTTCCAATCAACTGCAAGTCAAATGAGCGAGTACATGCTTTAATTTAAGACTTGTATTTCATTTCAATTTGAAACGATTCTATTCGGACTTTGGTTTGCAAACAATAAGACACAAATTGAAATAATATGTTGATGTTTATATCTCATATTCGTCCTCACATCCTGGAACATACTCGTTGACTTGTACGTCTCCTTAGTTTTAAATGCTCTCAAAGACATTGTTTACTAATAAACATAATAAACATACAGTAGGATATATTTATGTCTTTCCAAACAAAATCTTAACGTATGTACAATACAGTATTTCGAAATAATTTACGACGTAACGCGACTTTTTTTTCATTGGGTAGACTTGAAAAAATATATAAAATAAATATCATAAAATAATACACATATACATGTATTGTATTGTATGTTATACAATAAATGATAGAATCGTTTGCACAAAAACATTAAATTAAATGTTTAAATTTTTTCTTTTGTTTATTCTTTTTTAAATTTTTAATTATAGTCACGGTCATACTTGATTTCAATTCCAATTGGTGGTAATGCAATATCTACTAAATTAGTGATATTTGTAATTATACAAAAAGATAATGCAAAGACTGATTACATTGTTCTTAAATTGTATGATGTAAAAATACATTGATGCTAGATCTATCTCAGATTTCATCCGTGACCAAATATTTTTCGAGTTGTTGAATCGCAGTGCAGACAACTGTTTTTGCGTTAAATGCAGAATATAGATGCTTCGCGTCGTTAGCATGTGAAAAGTACAAGCATTGAATTTATGATTAATCCAAATGGAAAAGTTTCGTAAACAATCTGAAATGTTGTATAATTAGTATTAACCTATATTGATATTTACGCATTTTACATATCTTCGACGCATCTTTGTAGTCTCGAGGCACAATGGATCAAGAACTGATAGAAAAATTTATGGAAGTGACGGGTAAATCATGTATCATATTAATATTATATTAAAATTTACGAAATACCTTTCTGTTTTGTACGGAAGTTTGTTTTCTGAAAAATTAATGAACAAAGCATATTGGATTAATTTATGCCTAAATAAGTTAACAAGTTATTATGTGTTAATTGTCAGGGGAAAATGAAGCAACAGCCCGCCAATACTTGTCATTAGCTGAGGGAAATGTGGAAACCGCAATAAGTTTAATGTTTGATGGTAGTCAAGCACCTGAACCATTATGTACACCTGATCCAGAACCTGAAGTCAGACCACCAATTCTGCCTGTACAAGAAGTATTAGTACCGTCGGGTCCAATATGTTCTCTTCCAAGATTATCAACTAATGTATTTGACAGATTCAGAGATTTTGCTGTAGAAACTCGTGAATATCATCTTATTTAATAGTATATAACATGTATTCACATAATATGATTACATAGTATAATTATTTTATACTTAACGTAGAACGGCAGGAAGAAGAAATGACTCGGAAGGTAGCAGGAGTTAAACAAATGTCTTATTGCAAATCAAAGAGATTGGAGGACTTATTTCGTCCACCGTGTGGTATTCTCTTCCTAGGTTCTTTTATGGAAGCTCGTGAGCATGCTAAATCATTGAACCGTTGGTTACTTGTAAATATTCAAAATCCTCAAGAATTTTCCTGTCAGATCCTCAATAGAGATGTATGGTCCAACCAGCAGATTCAAGAAATTATAAAGGATCACTTTATTTTGTGGCAAGTAAGTTATTATAAAACATTATAGTATTCGAATGTTATCAGAAAAAGATTTGACTATTGCAAATTTGAATAGGTTTTGTCAAATACAAGTGATGGAAGTCGTTATGTGCATCTGTATGATGTATATGAATATCCTTATCTTGCTATAATAGATCCTAGAACAGGAGAATGTGTGAAAACTTACAATCATATTACAGTAGATATTTTAATGTCTGCATTAAATGATATGTTGAGCTCTCATCCATCACCAGAATGTGTTTCAAATGATTCAATGCATTCTAAAAAATGGAATAACTGTACTGCCACAGCAACAAAAGAAAGTTCTGCATCTAATTCATCAGTATGTGTAGGAAAAGAATTTTTGTGTTTAATAAATTCATTCATTAAATTTAATTGACTTCAATGTTTTGATTTATCATTTTGATATTTATTTATTTATAGGATTGTACTAGCAGTACTAAGATGTTTAAGCACACTATTGATAATTTAAATGACTCAGGTAAGCAACATACTACTATAAACATTTCTAATGTATGAAATTTAAGATATATCTTTTGTTAACATGATTATTTTACAGGTAGTATAGATATTAAGAATGATGTAACAACTATTCAAAGTTCAAGTAGAAGTATGTCAGCTGATGCACTTCAAAATATAACTAAAAAAAGAAAAATGAACGAATCAGATGAATTGAACGAAAAAAGACAAGAAATAAGTTCAAAGGTACATATATTGACGTTAACTTATTGTATGATTCTAAATAATACATTTATATTATTTTAGGACGAACGATCATACGAACTGAAATCTGTTTTGGACAAAAATAAAACTGGTAAAGAATTCTCGCTTTTTAATGTTGCATGTCTTCCTGTCATAAATAATTTCTTAAAAATATGTATATTGTTTATGTAGATAGTGCATCTGCTATAAGACTTTGTTTAAGACTGCCAAATGGTAAGAAAGAAACAATATCAATGTCTGCCACAGATACTGTAGAAGTAAGTACAACGATTTTGTTAATAATGTACTTAGTAACGGTAAATAAAAATATATAATTCCTATTTTCTTAGAATTTCATAAATACAATGGAGAGTATGGGTTACACATCGACCGATCATACTTATTTAGTGCCATTTCCGAAAACAAATATTGGAGCATATTCTCCACAAACACATTTATCAGATACAATTTTATTTCCAGCAAATACAGTATTTATAACAAAAATATAGTGATCTATTAGGTGAGTATATCTGTTTATTTAATTATATTTAATTATATAAATGACGCGATATTTAAATATGTTATGTTCTATTACAGATAAAATGCAATATAATGCAAGTATTTCCTTTTAACTATGGAATATATTATAAGTTCAACAAATATTACGTATCTAAATATATAGAAATATATTATCACATATATATATATAATATATATATATATATGTATATATATGTATGTATATATATGTATGTATATATATGTATATATATATATATATATTCAATTATCATTTATGTATAATATTTGTCAAGATTCAATACTATCGTTATAATAGTTACAGTTTGGTTATATCTCAAATGAAATGTATAGTAGAATGAACTATAACAATTTAACTGTTTTTTATACAAATAAAAATCAAATTACGACTTTCATTTTAAATGACAGAAATTATAATGTAATAACATAAATTCTGAAAAATTTTAATACGTTTTTTTATTTTTACGTGAGACAATATTTCAGTTATGCTTCCTATACTGTTATACTACATATACATTTATTTTTTAATATTTCCTTGTATATTCCGTATCAAAAAATTTTTTCGCCAATAATCCTTTGTTATTTAAAGAAGTTTATTTTGGCATAAACAAATAAGTTATTTTTAAATAAAAAATTATGTTTTGGTATTAAATTCTAAAATTAAATTGTACAAATAATATAGAACTATTTATTTATATTACTCCATATGAAATTATACATATGATTAATATAATTTATGTTAATTGTATGTTCAAATGACTCACCAGTAAATATCATATTTTTAAGATAATGATATTTAGAATAATTTATAGTTTATTTGCGATTTATATTTGTTTGTCGAAGTACTATATTTAAAAGTTAAGTACTATTTAAGTACAATTATTACTTTATAGTTATAAATAATGAATACTATAAAATAATTCTTATTTAAGTAAATTAATGTAATTTTATTCTTTACAAATTTATGAAATTTTTAAAATATGTAATATTCTCACCTAGTTATCCAGACACACTTTTCTGTGACTTTAGATAGGATCCAAATATTATTAACACATTCACTGCCAAACGTTGTTATAATTTGTTGTATGAAGCAGATTATTAATGAAGCGATTGAACATACGTCGTTTGCGTACGTAAGGTTATACCACTTGCATGTTCTGCATAATGAAATAAGAAATAATAATGGAAAATTAAATGTAACAATAAATGATGTGTTAATACAAACTAAAATCATGAAATCTCAAAGAATAATTGATGTCATATAAAAATATTAATTTCATTTGTTTTCTTTTTTCATATATTGAATATTAATGATGTTTCGTTTCTGTTAAATCTTGCAGTTATAATATTAAAAAATAAAAATATATTTAGTACAGATATCATGTATATAAGTATATTAAAATATAATATAAGGAAAATATGTAGTTTTAACAATTGTGTAAGGTAATTATACAGAAGAAATAATGATTCAGCTTTGTATTACAAGATCACAGATGATAATTATTGATATTAATTACTTTAAAATGTTAACATATTAACTTATAAATATAATGTAAGTTAATTAATGTAATAAAGAAAAATGCGCGTTGCATAAGCCACAATATTTTTATATAACTATAATATTAGTTAAATTGCATTTTGTATTATATGTCAACATTAGAATATATATAAGAAAATTTTTCTTGATAGCACTAAAGCTAAGAATAACAACGAATATCTTAATGTGAAATATATATATACACATACATGTACATATATATATTACATATGCATGATATATTATATATATTTCTAATCATGAAAGTACATACAAAAGTATATTTCTTTTTAACAACTGAATACCAATTTATGTAAAAATTTCTTCTTTCATACCAAAATAATTTAAAACAACTCCCATTGGTGTACGCTTGAATCCCATACCCTCTATCTTATTAGCAAGCTTATTCTTCACGTTTCTTAATCTTAAAGATGCATGTATAAAAGTCACTAAAAATATTAATATTAAATAGTTACATTAATACAAATCAATCAGTTGGTTTTATATTCTTATAATTAACTTCAAAACTCTATAAAAGAAAAGTATTTTTTCTTAGATATGGAAAAGAAACTTACCACAAATTGACAGCAGAATCCCAAATAATACAAAAAGTACCGAATTTATAGTGTAAATAGCATAAGATGCACAAACAATAGTAAGAATTACTCCAACTTGAGGATAAGTTCTTTTAAATTTGAGCAATGATTCTCTTTCATTAAATAAATAAATACATTCACCCCATACTGCCATAACTGTTGATATACCAACAATCATTTTCATTGGATTTACTGATCTAAATGATCAATCATTTATGAAATCAAACAAAATTTTATAATCATTATATAAAATACTATAAGCACCATTGTTATACTTACGCTACAACCAGTAAAATAGCAATGCACATATAAAGATAATTAGTTTGATAATATACAAGATTGTTCACTACTCTATTGCCCCATTTTTCGAAATCTCTAAAATTAGGCAGTTGAAAACGTGAAGATTCCAAAAGAAAATCGTACAAGCTACGAAGAGGTGGAAGCTCCCACCCTTCGCCTATCGATATTGTTTTATCCATTATAACGATGTCAAATACAATTTTGTATTGAAACAGTTTAGTTTTTACGATTGCACATTGATCGATCTTCACACGACAAAATTCTTTGATATTTTTGGACAATGACGACCGAAACGAACGTCATGCAATATGCAATTTATGAAATCGACGTACCCCTGTTCGAAAATAAATTAATCGCGACTTTACATACAATTTCCACTTCTCGTACAAAAGATAAAGTTTTAATTATTACTGTACTTCAGCGAAAAAGACAAACCGCTCGGAATCCAATTTAAAGATAAATTTCTTAACACACTTGCTTATCTTCTGTCGGGTGGTAAACACAGATGAACAATATATATTTAAACCATTGACTAATGCTTAAACGTAACGTCATTCTTTATCTCGAGTCCGAGAAAGTTGGATATAGCGCGTGTTTCAAAATGCTATTTTATCGATGTATAAATTAAAGAATAGAAAAATATCGTATAATATTATGCGAATATTAATATCGTATATAAAATTTCACGTCGATCAGGAACTAGTGCTTTTTGGAACAATATCCAAAATCGATATCAATTTCGAAATTAAAAAAAAAAACTTTCTAGATCAAATGACTACGAAATGCTTTGTTGACTAATAAACATGTTTATTAGTCATTCTAAGAAATCGAGCCATTATTGTCTTTAGTAATTTAAACGATTGTGTCTGCTATAATCATCTCAAAGGACAAACTTAAAAATTGAAAGGGTAGGATAATTCAGAACTAGGATTTGTCAAGGACCACATGTATATTTCTATCGTAAAAGTTGTTAATTATATTAAGTTTCTGATACAAAATTACGATCAAGGGTAATAAAAAGAATTTTAAACTTTTTAAGAACACATCAGACAATAAGTAGATCTTAAAATTTAATATTTCCATTTATTCTTTGTATAATTAAATATTAATAACACGCGATAACTTTTGAACCCTATTAAGTAGTAAGTCTCCTTGTTTGACCATAGCTTGATATTGCCAATTTTTACTATCTGGTCTATTAGTTTCAACTACTCCACCAACACGATCAACTTTACAATGCAATCTTCCTGCAGCAATAAAACGTGACAGTTCTCTGCAAAGAATAATTAAAATAGTAATTGAGAATATACAATATACCAACAAAAAAAGATATCGCTAACTTACTGATCGATGTATTCTACAGTAACACCAAATGCTTCGGCCATGTATTGAAGTGTCAGAGATCTATAAGATTCTAAAAGTTGCGTGTACGCGAGAATGCGCATCTCTCTAACATAATATCGATAATGTGGAAAAATTAAATAATCTCTGCGCAATAAAC